ACCAAATTCACTAGGAATATTCATTGTTTTGCTAAGCAGTTTGGTATTGAAAATCAGCAAAATCGGTTCACAACGTAAAAAGTTGTGAGTAAAACTACTAATTCTTGAGTAGTTTTCTCAGAAACTTCGACAAATTTTGTCACAGACTATTTTTTCCATCTAGAGATTAATTATGTTTAAAATTGTAACAATCGATCCAAAATTTCCCATAGCCCCATACAAAGGTACATATTCCCGGAAATTAATTTATCGTTAATAAATTTCTCAAATATATCGGAATCAACACAAAATTTTGTACATATTGACATTATATGAACAGGAATCAAAACTATGGACTTAGATCTGTATCGGTCCACAATTGGTCATAGTTCCCATATAAGGTCCACTTTCGAAAATCACTTAAATGAACATATTTTATTGATAAATAAAGCTATCGGGATAAAATTCGACATGAATATGTTTTGTATATACATAAATCATTGTACGGAATTTTTTTTCGGATCGGTCCATAATAGCTCCCATATAAGGTTCACATCAGAAAATCACTTAAACGAGCATAATTCATAGATAAATAAAGCTATCTGGATAAAATTCGACATGAATGTGTTTTGTGTGTATATGAATTACTCTACGAAATTTGTTCCGGATCAGTCCATAATCGGTCATAGCTCCCATATAAGGTCCACATTCGAAAATCACTCAAATGCGCACAATTCATTGATTAATAAAGCTATCAGGGTAGAACTCGAGGTGAATATGTTTTGTATATAGATATAAATCATTCAGTGAAATTTTTTCCGGATCAGTCCACAATTGGTACTAGCTCCCATATAAGGTCCACATCCTAAAATCACTTAAACAAGCTTAATTCATTGATAAATAAAGCTATCGGGATAAAATTCGGCATGATGTGTATAATATTAATTCTGTGTATAAATATTAATTACTTTACGATTTTTTTTTTCGGATCGGTCCATAATTGGTCATAGCTCCCATATAAGGTCCACATCCGAAAATCACTTAAATGGCATAATTCATTGATAAATAAAGCTAACAGGGTAAAACTCGACGTGAATTTGTTTTGTATATATATAAATCATTCGTGAACATTTTCCACATCGGTCCATAATTGGTTACATTCCATATAAGGAATTTTTTCAGCATCGGTCCATAACTAGCTCCCATATAAGGATAACTTCTGAAAATCACCTAATGCCACATAATTTATTATTAAACGCGTCATGAGTATTGTTTATTCAAAAGCTTTTATGGAATCTGGATGGAGTATAATTAACTTTCTCAGAGCCAATGTTAGATAAACAAAATAAATAAATGTGTTATGTTTATCTCAGGAACAAAACCCCAATTGACAATGCAATGAAATTTAGAAATAAAACAAAAGGCAAAAAATTAGGATTTTGGAAAAAAAAGGTGTTTATTGATGAGTAATATTACCTTAGGCTTTGGATGTTGAAAAAAACAAGAAGAGCAAAAATCTTAGATTAGAACGGAAGCTACATTTTAGACACCTTGGCCAAGTTGACAGTTGGTTTTGGGCGTTATGAGGGAAAGAGATAGCCTCAGTTTTCATAACTTTCAGCCTTTATATAGATTAGAGCAAAGAGGGAAAACTTTGCTCATCACTTATATTAAGGCCAAAAGAATGAAGTAGGTTTTTTGGCATTAACATTGCCGCCCCTTTGCAGGATATGCAAGAGAAAAGATGGAAGGAGTCATCCGGGCCGTGTCCAAGATGTTGCTTCTGTTTAGGAATAGAAAATAAATGGTTATTAGAACAGTTCATTTTAGATAAATATAATTCATTATTTCTTTTTTATAATTGGTTTACAATGTATAATGTAAGTTAGGATATATGATGATATGATATATGATAGTGAAATTCATAAATTATAGAATATATGGATGTTTTATAGTTTGCTTAGAATTCAGCCTAAAAGTGCATTTAATTAATTTACTAGTTCATAACGAGCAGGGTCCATAGATGACCCAGCCAAAAATAGTACTTTACGCCTTAGCATATGATCTTCGGATAAATGTCAGCACCGATTACGATATCAATAGCCGCAGATTCGTAGAATTTTGAGTCTGCGAGGAAAAGGTCTCGAAAGTTCTTTTTATAAGTTTCAGGCAAGGATTGGGTTGGAGTGTGAATCGTTATACGATTGTCAACACGAAATGTACCTTCAATCTTAGAGTTTGAATCGTACCGCGATTTCAAAACAATTGGACAAATTGTCTCTTCCTTTAGAGTATAAGCAGTTAAGTCCAGTTTATCAATCAACCTCTTAGAAATACGACTAATTGGAGTCTAATAAGCAGCGAGCGCGCGAGGTTGTAGATCCAATCTTTACCAGGACTGTGGGGAGAAGGATCAAAGTATTCTGATGTATAATTTGTGTCAACGAGGTTGGTATGGGATTAGACTTAGCTGCTGATGGATTGTTAACGGACGAACTTCGAGCTCTAGAGGAAGTCGACGGACGCGGAACGGGAGATGGTGATCGAGATCGATTTGAAGGCAAAAGGTCTTTAACTAATCTGGGGTTGACATGTAATAGTGTATGGTGAAATCTTCTACAATGCTTACATCCGTGTTTGGAGAAGCAGGTGCCTTTGGAGTGATCGTGTGCTAAACAATTCGTACAATATTTGTTATCACGGACTGCACGGATACGATCGGCCATATTCATGTCTAAAAATTTTCGACATAATCGAAGTGGATGTGGTCGATTACATAGGCGACAGGGAAAGGCTTTGTAGTTTCCAGGGAAATTTCGGGGAGTAGATTTAGATTTAGTGGGAGATATTTTAGGCATGGTGAACTGAAACAAAAGAGTACAAATAAGTCAAAGTGAAAGAAACTGAAATCTATGCGTCGGGTAATAACACAAGTTTAACTACAGGCCTAGTTATTATTCCGCGCTGTGTTAGAACGTCGGCTACGCGAACTCGATTATCCGAACCGGAATAAATTTTAACAATTCGACCAAGTCGCCACGAGTTCGGAGGGAGGTTTTCATCCTTGACAACTACCAAAGAACCTTCTTGAAGGTTCACCTCAGGCCTTTGCCATTTTACACGTTTGTTCATCTCTTTCAGATACTAGTTTTTCCAACGCAGGCAGAAGTTTTGGTGGATTACCTTGAGTCTTTGCCACCGGTTTATTAAGGAAATGGAAGAATCATCTACTTGCGGATCGATGGGTGCTAAAACTGGAGTTCCAATCAGAAAGTGTCCTGGTGTCAGCGCACATAGGTCGGTTGGATCACTTGAAATTGTCGAAATTGGCCTGGAGTTAAGACATGACTCTATTTTGGACAATAAAGTTGTCAACTCCTCAAACGTATACTTGTAGCAGCCAGCTATCTTCCGAAAATGGGCTGAACGACTTTACTCCAGCTTCCCACAGGCCTCCCATATGCGGAGCCCCGGCTGGAATAAAATGCCACGAGATATTTTGGTGAGCATAATCAGCTTCGATGCGTTGTTTGGAAGTTTGAATAAACTCTCTTGCCAGGATTCTAGAAGCGCCTACGAATGTAGTACCGTTATCGGAGTAAAGATTTAGGGGACATCCTCGACGGGAGACTAAACGACTGAAGGCCGCAAGAACGCTTGTGTGGACAAATCTGATGTGGCTTCTAGATGTATCGCCTTCGTGGAGAAACACACAAAACGCAGACGTATCCCTTGTAAATTCTACATGCTCGGCCGGAATAACTTTTGACATCGAATGGTCCTGCAAAGTCTAAGCCAGTATTAGCAAACGGACGGGTTATTTCGGATCTTTCCGGTGGCAAAGCTGCCATTATCTGCTTCTGGCACTTTTTTTATAGATAACGCAAACTTTGCACTTGTTGATAGTAGCTTTAATGAGGTTTTTCGCCTTAGGGATCCAAAATTGTGTTCTTAAAAGTCGCAAGACTAATTGGTTTCCGCCGTGAAGACTGATGTCGTGGACAAATTTGACTAAAAGTCTTGAATAGCTAGAATTGTAGGGTAGGATAAATGGACGTTTTTCGTCGTAGGAAAGTCCTGGTGAAGATTCTAATCGACCACACGATCGGATTATTCCTTCTGCATCGAGAAACGGATTCAAGTTAAAGATCGGACTTGTTTTCGAGATGGTTTGCCTACTAGAAAGGGCTTTGTACTCATTCGGATAGAACGCTTTTTGCCACACGGAAATAAGATAAGTTTTAACAAAACTTATTTCGGATTTAGAGAGTAAAAGTGAAGTTTTATGGAAACTAGAACGATATCGACGATGAGTTCTATAGAAAAACCGATAAGCATATGCCATAACACGCATTGCTCTACTGAAAGAAGAAAATCGTTCGAGAATATCTTCGAAACTAGAAAAGTAGGAGAAGTGTACTTTTATTGCTTTGGCTTCTAAGTTCGTGCTGGGAATATTAGACGTACAGGGGTTTGGCCAATTTGCTTCTGTTTCCTTAAGCCAATGAGGCCCAAACCACCATAACTCATTTTGGATTAAATCTTGCCTCGGCTAGCTAAATCCGATGGATTCGCTTCCGAGCTTACGTGTCTCCAATTCGAACAAGAAACTACTTGAGTAATCTTCGTTACTATGTTCGCGACGAACGTTTGCCAACAACAAGATGGTTTTGCCAGCCAAGCCAGTACAATGGTGGAATCAGTCCAACAGAAAAGGGAATATTGATTGAGATCCAACCGGCTAAGTAGATTGTCTATCATCTCCGCTAAGAGAACTGCACCACAAAGTTCTAATCGCGGAATGGACAACGTTTTGATTGGAGCCACTTTAGTTTTAGAGGAAATAAGATGAGTGGAAATGGAATTGGAATCTACCATTCGGATATATAGTGCTAGTCAACCAGCGGGATCAAATAATTTCGCAATATTGGATAAAACTTGTCTTTTAGTATAATTATCGGTTTCGGGAAATGGCTCAGCCGCGAAAAAAAAGTTATCAGAACACGCATTCCATCGAATACCAAGCATTTTTGCTGAACTGTTGTCCTCTAGTTTAAGGAATTTTTCATGGAGTAGATGGTCTGGTGGAAGATCAACTAGGATTTCTTTGGAATTTGACGTCCACTTTCTCAATGAAAAGCCAGCGGGATCTAAAGCTTGGATGAGTTCATTTCTCGCTTTAATGGATTCCTGTTGCGTATGAAATCCAGCTAAGACATCATCGACATACATGGAGTTCCGAAGAATACTACTAGCAATGGGATAAATTGATTGAACATCATCAGCTAATTGTAATAGTGTCCGAATAGCAAGATAAGGTGCGCAATTAACACCAAATGTGACAGTTTTAAGTTCGTAATCACAAATTGGACTATTCGGATTACTTCGGAACAATATTCGTTAATATGGAATATGATTTTCATCGACCAGAATCTGTCTATACATCTTCTGTATGTCAGCATTGAACACAAATCGATGAAATTTCCATTTTATAATCAAAAGAGTAAGATCATTTTGTAAAATTGGACCAACATGGAGTAAAGAATTTAAACTTTGTCCATTTGACGAAGGAGCCGAGGCATTAAAAACCACACGAACCTTGGTAGAAACGCTATCGAGTTTTATAACAGCGTGATGTGGTAAATAATAAACTCTTGTACTTTCGGATAGGTTAGGAGAAGCGACTTTGAACATGTGATCTAGGGTTTCATACTCCAAAACTACTTTATCATATTCAACTTTGAAATCTGGAGTACGAATCAGTCTAGCTTCGTTTCGAAAGAATTGCGCCATAGCGCTAGACCTGGAGTTGCCTAAGGACAATATTTCTGGAAACTCTTCCTTGAAAGGAAGTGAAACTATATATCGACCTTTGGAATCTCTTTTTGTTGTACGGGTATATAAATCTTCGCAAGCTTAATCGGATGGCGACAGAATGTTCTTCCTTGGAAGATTCTCCACCTCCCAAAAACGTGAAATTTCTCTATCTAAAGAAATTTCACAGAAATTCGAAACTATTTTTCGACTTGGACTACTATTTTGAGAAATTGGACCAGTAAGAATCCATCCAAAGATAGTTTCTTGCGCTAAGAGGGATTCGCAAACATTGTGCTTTACCCCTGAACAAACAACAGAGGGGAAAATATCACCGCCAATAAGAACATCTATCTTTGAAGTGGCATAGAATTTAGGATCAGCTAATGGAATATTAGGAAGATTCGACAATTTTGATTTCGGAACTGATTGAGAAGGAAGATTGCTAGAAAGTTGTGGAACTATAAGTGCCGTAGCGGGAAGAGAAACACTGTCATCTAAGTTTGAACCCAGTACAAAAGAACACTGATGTTGAACAGTTGCTGAAACAGATTGATTTAAGCCTGAAACTTGAGCGCTGGTAGATTGAGATGGGAGCTTGAGAAGGTTGAATAAACGTTCTGAAATAAAGGTACCTTCAGACCCAGAATCAATCAATGCACGCGCTTGGTATTTGGTCCCAAGATGGCAAATGTTTACCCACGCTGTACCCAACAAAACACCCGTTGAATTAGTAGCGAAACAAGATTGTACTCTACTGGAACTAGAACTATCTGTGGACTGTATATGGGGTGCATTAGGCCGAGAATAGGGTAGCGAATTAGGATTAAGATTTGAACTAATAATTGGACTTGGTACTTGAGGAGACGGAGTTTGTTCTTCGATTTCTCTATGTAAAAGAGTATTGTGCTTCTTTTTGCACTTAAAGCCTGTGTGTTTGCTCGTACAATTTCTCACGCTATGAGTTTTCGAGAAACAGTTTATGTACAAACCTTCTTTCTTTATTTCTTCCAGTCTTCGTTGATGATCCATTTTCAAGAATTTGGGACATTTGCGAATCGCATGATTCTCTTTTGGACATATTTGACATTTGGGAATTGTAACTTTGACTTGGAAGGAGTGGACTCGTTTGTTAGAGTTCGAATTGGAATTAGGTTTTGATTTCACATCACTATTTTTGGAAGCATTTGAACTTCGAATTTCAGACACTGACTCTAAGGCTCTGTAGCGATTTGTAAGAAATTTATCTAATTCGGACCATTGGGGAATAGAAGTCTTGTCCTTTAACTCCTGTTACCATAACGTCAAATTATTCTCAGGGAGTTTACTAGTGCAAATAAACACGAAGATTGGATCCCAACTGCTGACATCAATCTGGTAAAGCGATAATACTGTTATACAAGAGTTTATTCCTCTTTGTAAGTTCTTTATTTCTTTACCAGATTCTGAATTCATAGACTGGAGGGTAAAAAGGATTTTCAATTGACCATTTACCAGAACTCTGGTAAATGGTCAATTGAAAATCCGAGAACAAATCTCAAAACGAGAACAAAGATTTCTCCAGGCAATGTCGAAACCCTGGGGAGTAAGTGGACTCTTTTGGACAATTTCTCGAGCTTCGCCTTTTGTTTTCTGTGTTAAGAAAAACAATTTTTCCACGTTACTTGCTCGAGAATTGGAAACGACGGCAGAAAACGTATCCCGGAAAGTTGGCCACGAAGAATAATCACCATTGAATGTCTCTATTTCAATAGGAGGTAGATGGAGACTGCGTGACTCGGAAGGGATTAAGTTTTGGACAAAATCATTTGAAGAACCGGGAGGAGCCGAAATATCGGGGTGTCTCGTCACCTCTTGAGGATTGGGATTTGAACGGAATCTTAAGGAATCGGAAAGCTCAGACAACTTAGCCAAACAATTACAATACGTGGTGTATGTGCTCTTGTATTTCGACTTAACCGATTCTATGTTGATTGGCTCCTCGACATCGCCAGCCTCCTTTTCCGCTTTGGCTAAAAAGTTGTCATAGGCGACCCTAATTCGACACCAGTTGGACTTTAGTTCATATCGATGAACTTTAAGGGTGTGAATCGAATCCACAGGATATTGGTTGGCATTAAGGTCAGCTTCAAACTCTACTACCGTATCAGTTAATCTTATGAATTGGTCTAAAGACATTTTGAAAGATACTAATTGGAATGAAATGAAATCCGTATTAAATCAGCAGTATATTTTGTAAAAAACACAAGAAAATCTTTGAATTCAAAGGTATCAAAGAAACTGTAAATCAATGGGATAAAAAAAACAATAATAGTTTAAAAAAAGTTCAACGTCAATCTCTATAGAACTTCAGATTTTAATTATTGAAGCAATATATAATGAGTGGATACAACTGTAAACACAGACAAATTTGAAAAATGAATTACTATATTTAAATCCCTGGCAAAATAAGACGATATATTGGTTTTCTATCAGCTGTTCAATGTAAATAAACCTTTTACTTATGGGAAATGGCAATATACTTCCAAGAAACTTCCCAACAATCGGTCTGTTCGCGGATACTTCTACTACAAATAGTGTACGCAAACACACTTTTGGGAAATTGCAAGGCACTTCCAAGAAACTTCCCAACAAAAGAAAAAAAAATATTTGAAATATATTATTTTTAACTTTTATGTGGAAAGGAGCAACAAAAGATTGGATGGGAAGAAAAGGAATAAGAATGTGAAAAACGGAAAACAGAATAAAATATAAAATATAGGAATAAAAGATAAAAAAAAATTAATGAAAATATATATTTGTTCAATAACGAAAAGTTGTCACTAATTAATACAAATTTTCAGAAGAAATACTTGAAATTTGTATTGAATTTGTAATAGCATACAAAAGGTTTTTGCTGTTTTGTTATTGAACAGCTATAATATTTTCGTGTGGGATGAAGAACTTTTATATTGAGTATTAAAGTAGTAAATAAGAAAAACAAACGTAAAAGAATGTTGTCCCATTCTTTCTTTTCTCGAAAAATTATTTAAAGTTAGAAATGCAATAAATATAGTGTAAAATAATTACTGCTTTGCAATATTTTCTTTTCTTTTTCTATTTTTCCAGAAATTTATTTCACTCTCTTTTGGGGTATATTATAGAGGAAATTTCCTACTGAGATCAGAAATAAATCAAAATATCCATTCGTTAATTATCTTTAACCAGTTGCTTACTAATAAGTTAGTGAATGAATTAATATTTTAGCAATTTTATAAGGGTTTCTTCTTTCATCTCGTGACAACTTTTTAATAAGTATAAGGATATTTTAACGATATTTACCAATCAATTTTGTAAGAATTTCTCTCCCTTTTCCTTATATGAATTTTCCCTTGTACTTTGGAATAAACCAACATGTATATAATAGAGTTAAAAAAAAAAATAAGGAAATCGCTCGAACACCAAAATAAGACGATATTTTATTAAATATAACAAATTGTAATTTTTTATGAGTTTAGCAATTTAACTTTGTTCATAAATAAATGCACGTTGGTAACACTTGATACAAAATCATTGGAAAATACAAGCGAGTGCACACCGTCATATACATACAAGGTTAAGAGAGGAGTTTTGTAAGTAAAATAGTTAAGAGATTTGAATTAAGTAAAAGCTTTACTTTAACATTTAAGAGATGATCGGAATTAAAGGGAAAGAGAATGTTAGGATTATTGATTTGAGGATAAGATTAAGAGAGAATATTAACAAATTGGTGGTGGGAAAAGTATATAAAAAAAGAACTCAAGAGTACGGACAAATTTTAAGAAGGGATAAATAGAGGATAATGACACGATAACACTCCAGAGTAATTAAAGCTGAAAATGGGGAGAATAATTGCACACATGAATGAAATAAACAAGATTGCGACACCGACAATTCCGTTATTTTAATGTACTCTTTTATTATTTTTTCGTGACGTCAACAGTGCTTGTTTTGCTATGTTTTAAATATAAAATACTTACTTTGCACATGAAATTTTAAAACAAATAGTGAAAAAATAAAAATTAGTAAATTAAAAATTAAAATGCGGTGTGCAGTCAAAAATTGCAATAATAGTAATAATAAAAAATCAAAATAGTGTGCAATAAGTTTTTTTTAACTTTCCTTCAGATCATAGCTTATTAAAGCAATGGATAAGTTTTTGTTGCCGAAATAAAAAAATTAACATTAAAACGTCTAAAATCTGTAGAGAGCATTTCAAAACCGAAGACTTTGAAAACAATTTACAATTGGAAATGGGTTAGTATGAAGCAAATGATTTCTGTAATAAATAGATTAGTCCCTATTATTATTTAATTAAGTTTAATATTTAAATAAGTTAAATATTCCTAATAACATAAAACGTAAAATACATTTTATTTTATTAGAAACAAATAAGTTTT